TTTCAGGTCGCTTTTGCCAAACAATAATAAATAAGTATAAATAATTTGCCAATCAATAATTAATAGCCTATAATTACTCTGTTATTTACTTATTATAATAATACATAAAAAATCCATTTACGTAAGATATATCTATTTTATTTTATATGATACTCATTAATTTATTCAAAAATCATTTATTATAATAATTTTTTAAATTAATTTAAGTTTTAAATTAATTTATTCAAAAATTCTATCCTTTCGCAATGATAGGAAGAGCCGACATCGAAAGACCGTAAATCTTCATAGTAAACTGGGTCTGTAATCGTTGCGAAGTATCAGGAGAACAGACGCGCTCCGAGTATATATATGAAGTATAGTACTATAACGCGCGCCTATCGAACTCGCGTACGCTTCATACAATTCATACATTTCCATACGAATTTTTCGGCCGATCTATTAGGGTAGCAGACACATTTTTCAATCAAATTTCGCTCGTATTTCACAGGGCCGGCTGCTGAAATGTTAGGGGTAATTATTTTTAAAATTAAAAAGCAATTTATTTGTTTTGGGATATTGTGATAGGTTTTTTGTGTTGGGATGGTTCTTTAACATTAATATTATTGTATAAGCATTGAAAAAGAAGTAATGTGCATAATGTAGCTGATAATTGCAAAATTTAGTTATTTGTGTGTGCGTACTACAATTTTCGACTTTTTATCAACGTTTCCAGAAGAACGGCTGTACCGATTTTGAAAATTTAAAAGCATCGGATGTGGTTTCATGAGCACTCTACCCGATTATTTTTTGCGACGATCGGTCAAGCCGTTTCTTTTTCTTAAATTAGTGTAAATGTGCAAAAATTTTGCCCACGTTTTTTATAAAATCCTTAAATCGAATTTAAAAATTAATGAACTATTTGAAAGATATTTTTGGGGAATCATAGTTCTCAGTTTTTGGTAAAGATCGGCCGAGCCGTTTCTTTATAATTAGTTAATAATATAAAATAAAATTTATTTTGTTATTAACTTTTATAAATTAGACACATAGTATATTTAAAGTGAAATTACATTTATGTAATATTATAATCAGTAGCAATTTTTATAATAATGTGTTTTTTCCGACTTTTTAAAAGAATTTACATATTTGTTTTATTCAACATATAAATATGTTCAAAATGCGGTCCTGTTTCTTGTTAAATGTATCCTGCTTTCTGATTGGTTGCCTCGTTTTGACAGCTCCAAATATATAAATGGGCGGACAATTCTCGTTACTTTCTTACGAAAATGCTCCTGTAATCGCTTCGAAGATTAGGAGAGCAGAAAACGTTAGAAATTTATAGAAAGTGCAATATTATTCGTGCACAATTATGGTGTGACTATTACGAATTCAATAACCTTAATGTAAGTACAAATTGATTATCTTATGATTATTATATTTCAAATGAAAGTGTCATTGGCTATTATATATTATATTTTTTATATCAATTCCTATGTTTTATTATTATTAATTAAAACTTATTTCTTTGTTAATTATTAAAATTAACTTTTAATTAAATTGTTACATTGTTACATGTAGTTTTCTAGTAAAAATTATCACTATCTAGTGATTCTTGTAATAAATCTATAATCTTTTCAAAGGTGCTTATAACTTTAAGGAAACAGAAAAAAAATTAAAAATATTATTGATGAATTATGTAAAGGGCATACCATTCTGTGTATTTAACTGTCTTCTCAGAAATATACATTAAACAGAAATACACAGATATGATAGAAGTTCGAGTATTTTGCAGCATGTTATATACTATTATATAAATAGTTTAGAAAATTTTATTATCATATGAAATTAAATATCGACTACAATTCCAAGGATTTTGCCAATTCATGTGATAATAGTATAGAATAAAATGATAAATCAAAGTAGTAAAGCCAGTATATTAAACTTCAGTTGTAGTTACATAAAACGCCAAATATTTTTTAATGAATTGAGCCAAAAAAATGAAATGCTTATATTTTATTTAAGAAACACAATTCTGTACAAAAGTACATTTTGCTCACAATAATCTAAGAAAATACCACATAAACCTATTAGAATTTCATGTGAATGTAATTGAATCAAATGAAATGAGTGAATTCACTGTAAGTCATTCTATAGATAAATTCTTTATTGAATCAGATTTATACTTACAATTCTTTTTATAATGAAAAATGAATTCTTTGTTCTATCAAAAGTACTTTGAAGCAAAAGCATTACTGAGTTTTAATTAATTGTCAATGAATTGATAATTATTGATGTGCTTCGAATAATATACATACTAGTTTCTACTATGACAATGCTTTTTGAATGAATTGAGTTTAAAAATAATAAGAACTTTATATAGTGCATATAATATGTACATTTCACAAATAAGTATTTAATTAATAACAATAATTTCACTGAATTTCTATTTTATAGTGTTATGGATTCTTGCACTGTTGCAAGTATACATACTTTGGAGAATAATGATTGTTCGGGATGGTAACAGGATTGTTCCTGTACTTCAGAGATAACGGGACAAGTCTGATACAAATATTAATAGAAGTATGCATTTATGCTGATTTCCAAATGATGATGTCTTTAAAAATATAAATATAGGTAACTATAATTTTGTGCATGTACTACAAAATGAGAATGAAGAATTATATTATAAGATAAGAAAACTTCAAGCCTCTAAATACATTTATACAATCTTGTGGAGACGTTAACATTTTTCATCACATGCAGATGAAAGACCAGATAGTAACCATATATTTTACCTCATGATATCTACAAATACAATAGATAAATCGCAAAAACTAAGAAAGGAATATATATGTAACTTCATAAACAAAAAGCAAATGTAAAATATTTAATATTTTACTCAATTAACACATTACAAAAATAAATTTATTCTTTAAATATTTAATATTTAAAATAGTATAATTACAAGCATTTAAGTAATTTAATACTGAATGATCTGAATTAATATAATTTTTTATAACAATAAAGTAATTCATAGGAACTTTACTGTTAAAAATAAGAATGTTTTGACTCATACTTTCGTATGATGATACTTTTTCATATGATATAGTTAATTATTTAATTAATTTTGCTAGTAATATAACATTTCATTATTCATTATTACAACTCAAATATTTCTATTATAGGAAATTCCAAGAAAATGTGTAAATAGAATACAATGACATGGTAAATCAAACTAGTAATGCCAGTATATTAAACATCAGTTTAGTTTCTACTATTACAATGCTTTCAGAATGAATTGAGTTTAAAAATAATAAGAACTTTATATAGTGCATATAATATGTATGTTTCACAAACAAGTATTTAATTATTAACAATAATTTAACTGAATTTCTATTTTATAGTGTTATGGATTCTTTCACTGTTGCAAGTTATACATACTTCGGAGAAAAATAATTGTTCAGGATGGTAACAGGATTGTCCCTGTACTTCAGAGATAACGAGACAAGTCTGGTACATATATTAGTAGAAGTATGCATTTACGCTGATTTCCAAATGATGATGTCTTTAATAATATAAATATAGGTAACTATAATTTTGTGCATGTACTACAAAATGAGAATGAAGAATTATAAGATAAGAAAACTTCAAGGTTTTAAATACATTTATACAATAAACAAAAGGCAAATGTAAAATATTTAATATTTTACTCAATTAACATTATAAAAATAAATTTATTCTTTGAATATTTAATATTTAAAACAGTGTAATTACAAGAATTTAATTAATTTGATAGTGAATGATCTGAATTAATATAATTTTTTATAATAATAAAGTATTTATATGAACTTTACTGCCAAAAATAAGAATTTTTTTTATCATATAGTTTATTATGTAATTGATTTTGCTAGTAATGTAACATATCATTATTCATTATTACAACTAAAATATTTCCATTATAGGAATTTCCAAGAATCCAGAACGATGTGTCTATCCAGATTTTTTGTGTCTGCAATGGATAATGCTGTGCATTTTCTGTGTTAAGAACTTACGATGGATCGCCTCCAACGCATACTATAGGAGTACCTTTAACTGGAACTAACCTATGAAGCACAATTAACGAAGATGAAATATCTGAGCATGAACATTATAATGATATAGAAAGCAAATTGCCTTTGTACCTTTGGGAAGAAATGAAATGTCCGTGTCAATAGTTGAAACTTAGCTTTAGCTATGTATGATTTTCTTTATATTGACTTTTTATCAAAAGTATTTCTTGTAGATTACTTTATATAATTTTTTATCAACTGTTTGAAACTTACAACAGAAGTTTTTATACAACTTAAGTTGTGATGATCAATATAATACATAGCAATAAATATTATATAATATGTAGCAATAAACTTAAGATTTTGTAATGATGTTAGCAAGTTTTTGAAGCTGCTATTTCTGGATTAACAGGCTAATGATGCTGGCTTCTTTTTGAATTATCAAATTCTACACTTAATACAAAGCATAATGAGTTCGCTAAAATGTCGCAAATGGAGCAAATAATTAATTATTCTTAGAGGTGAAATAGCTTTATTGTCATATGATCACAATTAAACAAGTTTAAGTTTTAAATACATTTTAATTATATTTTGATAAATATGTTTTAAGGCAAATTAAAGTTGTTTGTGCCAGCAATAATATTTCTAGTACTAATACCATTATAGGAGATTCCAAATTTTTTACCCATGCCATCATCCTCAGTATCTTTTAAGTTTAATCCTTGCAGTGGACCACTTCCATATCAGACTTTAGGAGTACCTTTAACTGGAACTTTTACAGTTTTATCATTACAGTTTCACACCTATTGATAAAATAGATTTGAAACAATCTGTCGTCATCTTGAATAAGTAATAAGGAAGATGAAACATCTGAGAATGAATATTATAATGATGTAAAAAGCAAGTTGCCTTTGTATCTCTGAGAAGAAGTGAAACGACAGTGTAAATGTTTAAAAATTAGCTTTAGTTACATATGATATTCTTTGTATTTTCTTTTTATTAAATCAAGTCAAGTAGTTCATGTAAATGGCCTTTATAGAATGATGTGCTATGCAATGCAATATATGTCCATTTATTTATTTAGATTTAAAATGTAATTGATAGTAATCAAGTTAATGTTTATTAATTTAATTAGTAATAATTATGTTCTGGCAATTAAAATTGTATTTGAGTCTTCGATAACTGCATAAATTATTATTGTATTGTAAAAGCTTATGGTATATAATTTATATTTTCAGCTCGTTTTAAGTATGAAATTGAAATAAAATATTTATTAATGAGCTAGAATAATTTCATAAACAATTTTAACTGGAAAAAAATATATTTTCAAGCTAATTTATTCATTCTGAACAATATAACTTTATATAACAATACTTCATAATTTTTGCAGATTAAATTTTCTGTTTGAATTTCGCGCTTTAAATTGTACAAGATTGGGGCAGCGGTCAATTTACTAACTTCAATTGCTTCAAATGTCAAGAGATTTTTGTGAATGATCTTAATCTCGCGTTAATTAAGAGTTTTTAATTAAATCCTTGATTAGTTTTAATTAAATTATGCATAAAATCGTTTAATTAAATCTGTAGATCAATCTGACATACAAAATATATCGTGCAACATTTGTAAAAAGTTAAAAAAATGGATATGTGTGGAAATGCATATGTGTACCTTGAATAGTAATAGTTATCTCTTTCAGGACCCCCATTTCGAATCAATATTATAATTAAACCTTTTACTTTCAGTGCTGATGTATCCTTTATCTATATATATGCAATTAGCAATTGTATAATTTATATATGAATGTGTATACTTTTGTAGGTTATGGTAGCACATTTCCACATATCTATTTATTCAATTTTAAGTTCACAAAAGTCTCTAATGTAAGTCGTGTCTTGCGTGTTTCGTAGAGAATTTACTCGGACAATTGTAAAATGTCAAATAGACTTGTAAAAGACAAAGTTATGTAGTGGTTTTAAAGTAGTGATTTTGTGTCGAGTACTTGAGATTTCTGGCAGATGCTGTAGAGGATTTATAACAATGTAAGTGCAGAGCATGTTTTATATAAAGCGAGGCAAAGAATATATTTCTGATATTATATACAGGCATTTAACGTACTATTTATTTATTTAATATTTAGCTTAATTTTGAATTCAAACAAGAATCAAATAATTATGAAAATCTTTGATGTTCGACACAATATTGTTTGTCATCTTCAGTGAAACTATAATTTGAATACTAATGAATAAAAAAATATTACTTATAATTTATTTCCTGAAAAGGGTTTAGTACTACTGACCGATTTTGTATTACATGCTACTTTTATGCTTGTCATAATAATATTTCTCAATAATAATATTTTATGCTAGTTTTTCATATTAAATGAAATTAATTGAAAGGTGCTTTGAGAACTTGTTTCTTTGTTATACGATATCATTTATAAAGCAGCTTGTATATATTTTAGTGGAATATTTTTTGGCTTGTGCATTATTAATATAGTTATATACATATATCTGCTGAAAATATTGTTTATATTATAATATTTGAGTCAATATCATTTTCTTAATAAGGTATACTTTATTAATCTTTAATGCATAAAATACAATTTATCTTTTGTTTATTCAACTACAACTATTTTGCAAATAAAAGATTTTAAATTTATTTGGCAGACATATGTATGAAAAACTAGGTTCTTATTTAATTTGTTATGGGGAAAACATGTTGATTCAGATTTTTTATTTATTTATTCAAGTGCATTTTATACTTGTTTTAAATATATATAAAAGAAAAAAGTTTCTATTTCTCTTATGTATCAAAGACGCTGAAAGTAATTTATATTATTACAATTCCATAATAATATTCCACCAGAGATTCTCTTGCTCTATAAATAACACTATGAATTGATTTTGTATGGAATCCAGAATTTTTATATGTATATTAAATTTTTGTTACCAAATTATTAGTTAATTAATACAGCTTTTTATAAGCATCGATTACTTATTTGTTGGAGGGGTCCTAGCACCCTTCCTTAGGTAACTCCTAAATTGATGGTATTTTGTTGCAAATTACAAATTTACTTTGTTACAAAAATCTCTTTTTTATCACACAATTTGTTCATTATTATACAGAAAAAATATTTGTATTTGTATTTGACATTTCCAGTATCAAGAATCATGTGTTTTTCCTGTAGCGACATTGTCTGCATGAACATTCTTATTTATGGATAACACGATTGTTGGTTTTGATCAAATTATTTCAAATACTCAAATACGACATAACAAATTGTTAATTAAATGCAGCTTTTAAAAGTCTTTTACTGTAGTTTAATTTTAAATTTATTCAATTATATTGCTGCATAGCTAAATGATAGATTTTTATTCTTTTATTGATAAAAACAATTTTGATCAAGACATGCAATCAAAGTTTCAAAGAGTTGACTTGAATGATTAGACAAAACATAATTTTGTTAACAAGTTTATTATTCGATTCAAGTTGTAAAAATTATTTAACTCAATTTCTAAAGGATAATAATCAGATTTAAACAGTCTTGAAGTTTTTAATGTTCACATTTGAATATTTTTTATTATTTCATTTCACATCTTTTATTGAATTTCTTTTATAGCTTTTTCCAATAATTTGTATATTATTCAAGTCAACTACATTTGTTACTACGTTTGTGATTAATTGTAAAGGTTTCACATGTTTTATCAAGTCATATAAACAATTTTGATTTGATTAATATCACTTCATTTCATCGATTAATTAAATAATTCTTTCGAATAATTTTTTTTTCTAAGTCCTTTCAGATCATTTTTTTTCTAAGTTCAAATTTTTTGAAACCTTTTCGATTAAGACAGACGAGTTAATTTTGCATGCTATGTTATCCCAAAGCCAACACTCGAATGAATGAGAACCACATTGAATATTTCATAACGAGAAAATTTTATTGGGGCAAGTCCCAGTAATTTTTTCTCATTGTGAAAATTTCAACGTGGACCTCATTTCATTCGAGTGTTAGCAATCAAAGTTTCAAAGAGTTGACTTGAATGATTAGACAAAACATAATTTTGTTTACAAGATTATTATTCGAATCAAGTTGTAAAAATTATTTAACTCAATTTCTATAGGATAACAATCAGATTTAAACAGTTTTGAAGTAGTTAATGTTTACATTTGAATATTTTTTATTATTTCATTTTACAAGTTTTATCAAATTTCTTTTTTGGCTTTTTCCAATAATTTGTATATTATTCAAGTCAGCTATATTTTTTTGTCTCGATTAATTGTAAAGGTTTCACATGTTTTATCAAGTCGTATAAACGATTTTAATTCGGTTAATATGATTTCATTTCATCGATTAATTAAATAATTCTCTCGAATAATTTTTTTTTTTTATAAGTCCAAATTTTTTGATCATAATTCTTTCGAATAATTTTTTTTTTTAAGTCCTTTCAGATATTTTTTTTTTCTAAGTCCAAATTTTCTGATTATAATTCTTTCGAATAATTTTTATTTTCTAAGTTCTTTCAGATAATTTTTTTTTCTAAGTCCAAATTTTCTGAAACCTTTTCAATTAAGACAGACGAGTTATTTATGCATGCTGTATTATCCCAAAGCCAACATTCGAATGAATGAGGCTCACATTGAATATTTCACAACGAGAAAATTTTATTGGGACAAAGTTAAAAATTTTAACTAAGTCCCAGTAATTTTTTCTCGTTGTGAAAATTTCAACGTTGACCTCATTTCATTCGAGTGTTGGCTTTGGGAATTGGTGTGAGGGAACACTAAAAAACATAAAAAAGTTTCAGCATTGAACAGAAAAGAGAAAAATTCATCTGGGACTTAGGGGGGTTTTTTTAGGTTCCTCCACCTCCCCTTCCCCTCCTCCTTCCCCTTCTTCTCCCATTTTTTTCCTTTTTTTTCATTTTTTTTCATTTTTTTTCATTTTTTTTCATGTTGTGGTTTTTCGGTAGATTTTTGGATCCGGCATGCATCTTCCGCAATGTGTCTCCCTGCGTGTAACCTCTCGCACCATGGACCTCAGGTTGACCATCACTTGGTGTGTTCGTTTCAGGACCCTTTGCGCTCGCCAACAGCCAGCCACCAGCACTGTTCCATTTTTTCTGCTTCCGTGTTGGTCGTCGTCGCCTTCAGCTGGATTCGATCCGTCTCACCTTGTGCCTGCCTCCAGAGCGATTTCACCGAGTATGCGGTCTCTTAAACCGCTCGGCTATTTAAGTTATTGATGATAAAAGTTATTTTTATTCCTATATTGTATTAATATTGAATTTTAATAAAGAATATGTATCATACACATCTCTCTTATTCATCATCTGCCTCTACCCCTCTCTTTCCCCAGTTCTTCCTCTACTTTTTTTTTTTTATCTTTATGTATCTCTCTTACAGTCAAGTGCGAAACTTGAGTTTTTCAGAAATTTACTAAGTGTCAAGGTCGAAATGCGACACCTGAATTTAATATTTTGAACTAATATT